GTGGGGGGGAATGTGGTTTTATTCTGACATTGTCTAAATAGAGCATGATTTGAAATTCTGTGCATTCTTTCTCATAGAAATGCAGCCAGAGCTCTGCAAATAGGAATGTCTGGTTTCATATAAGCTTTAATTACATTTGGTCTTTTTCCATCCTGCATATTTTGTGTGTGTTCAGCACATGCCTTTCCTAAAAGCTTTTTTTTTTTTTTTTCAGTGTACGCTACGGCACACAAAACTATAATTCTTGCAGCATAAAGATTACTGTGCTTTTGGAATAAGATCAATGTATAGGTTACTCTGACCATGTCGGCAGCATGCAAAGAAGGGGTTTAAAGCCCGATTAGTTAATAAGTTCTGCAGATTATGCTGGTTTTCGTTCCATGTACCAAAAAAATCCTTGCCTGATAATTTGCAGTCCTCATTATCTATGGGAAATGCATCGACAATGAACTCTCTCTGTAATTTTTACTGACTGAAAAATATACGATACTTCTGTCAGGAAAACGCTGGCCATCTTTTCCTATTATGAAACAGAGTCTAAAGCCTGTGTGCTGGTGAATGCGATCAGAGCTGACAGCTCACGATTCTGCATGAATTCTCTATGAAGAAGTTTCACATGGAAATACAAGTATTGCAGAAGATCGTGCTAATTTTAAGTCAACATTGGTTGTGAAATGCTGGAGGCAGGGCAAAACCGTTACATTTGCTTTCTTTTTCACAACTGTATTAATTTAAAAAAAAAAATCTTCTTTTTGAAGTATCTGTTGCAGAACTATGAAATCCTAGAGCGATTCGTTGTGTTTGAGTGTGGCTGGCTGCTGTGAGTGTGTGCTGATAGAGATCAAGGAATGCAGTAATTTGATGCAGTAAAAGTTGTTTTACAGAAGTCCTGGAAAACTTAAGCTCTCGTGCATAAAAATGTGTGAAGGAGATTCATTACAAATGTATTTGCCAAAAAAAGTCTTAAATAAATTACAAATATAAAACACTTTGACTGCAGTTTCAGAACCTGGGAATCAATGTGCTTTTATGCTCCCAATTCAGTTTATTCACATTTTTCTGCTATTCACAGCCTTTGCATTTCAGTGGTCTCAAAGCAAAGATGTGATGCTTTAATAGTATATGAACCTCTCATATGTTTTAGCATTTGGGCAGGAAAGCTGAATGTGTTCTTCCTCTCCCAAGATCATGCTGGTTTATTCAAAGCAGGCTGTTTATGCAAGTGTCCACTGGTTGCAGTACACCTTAATTCTGTTTCTCAGTACACAAAAGCAGGAGGGAAAGCAATGACAGAACCTAGAGCATGGAAGCAGGAGAAAAGACTAAAAAAACCTTGTCCGTGAATATTTTCGGGATTACATTTCTGAATATTTTGATGCAATTAGCAGGAAAAAAATTTAAAAGGATGACTTGAACTTTACAGATGCTGAAAAAAAGGTTCAAAGCGATAAGGATGTATCTCTTAAAAGACAGCCACCCTATGAGTCTTCATGGGGTAGGTCTTACTGTCCTCCCCCATGTAGCAATTTGGGGAGAGATCTGCAACAGTAGCCCTAAAAAATTCAACTATGCCTTCAAGGAAAACTGACATTTTCTGTCATGATAGATGATGATAATGATCACTTAGTTACCATCTAAATGCTATGTATAAAGTGAAGAATTCCTCTAGTAGAGATGAAACTCCTTGATACATCCCTGTGAAGAGCTGAATACTTTTTTTCACTGATTCTTCTTGCTATCGCCTGGGATACAGCCTCGATCCTAACCGATCTGCCTATTCCCACACTGGCATATAATCTATTATCATTTGGTTTCCAGAGGTAGAAATTACGGCAGACAGTACCAAACCTATATAGCACCAGCTGGAAGACTGACAACTATAATTAGGGACCCAGAATTAATGGCCACTATCTCACAGCTCTGTCAGAGGTTTATGGCATGAGAGACTCTGCTCTTATTTGTCCAAAATTTGTTTGCAAAAAAGAATCCAGGTAGTCTTAAAATGAGAGAACTCAAACTTGGGGCTGTGGTGTTGAGGCACAGTAGCGACCAAATTCAAGAATTGTGGTACGTGGATCTGAAAAGACAAACTTGGGTAAATGTATGTCTTAACCCTGAAATATCTTTTGTAAATTTGGTTTTCTTCTATGTTTTTGAAAGGTACTTTTTTTGCAATAAAACTAGGAATCCACGTTGAACATGATTGTAATGCAAAGGGCTTAATTTCCACTGTCTGAGCTGTTATCACAGCCAAACCGTTAAGTTTACACATTTTCTGAAGTTTCAAAGCCTCTGGCAAATCTCTATAAATTAGCGGATTTAAATTAGCTTTATTAAATGTGCTATTATAAAACATTTTACTAAGTGCAAACTAAGTTTTTATGTGTTTAAGGGAGATTGATTAAATCAGTGTAAAGTAGGTTACAGAATAACAACGTGAGTAAAGTTTTAGCAAGTTTAGCTGGGAAGCTCTTTCTTGGAGTAATGACAAGTGTAATTCACTGGCAACACCCTGCAGTGATTGTCAAAACTGTTCAGGTTGAAAAAGGAAAACATTTTTCAATGTATTTAGTCTACACATTTTTAATATTGAGTTCAGATTAATGTCACATGTCTTTTAACTAGCCTCAGAATCGTTTCATACTTACTAATACTTTGTGTTGCATGGCATTACTATTTGTACCTAGAGATTTAACCTGCCTGCATTAATAATATAAGATGAATAAGATCAGAATCTGGCCAGTTATATGAATAAGATCAGAATCTGGCCACTAATTTCTAACTGTGCTTATATACACGTTTTAATATATTAACCAACAAAATATGAAAAGACAAAACAGTATATTAAATACTGAGTATATTTCTTCCTTCTGGTATTTTCTGAGTGGTTTCTATTAGTATAATAAAGAGTGGGACCTTTAGCGGTGATTTTAATTTCTTCGTGAATGGACAGACTAAAACCTTGATCTTACATGGTAATCTTTAATTTTCAAGTGCAGTGAACCATGTCATTTTGTATAAAGGAAACATTTACAAACAGAAAAGGGAAGAAAAAGAAGTGACTTCAAGTAAAGCAAATTAAACCTGTTATTTCTCTAGTAATTATATCTCGGTCATCCCTGGCATTTGGCCAACTGTCCCTTCTACATAGAATTCAGGGTTTCAGATGATAAAAAGTCCATCACCTGTATAACATGTCTCTTTTAGTAAATATAAAAATGCACTATATTACCCAAGCTTTTGACCACAATATTTCCAGCAATTCAAGATGTCAAAGTAATAATGATAGCTACCATTAAATTATTGCAGAGCAGAACAGATGCATGGGATTTGTTACCACCTTTAAATAATAGATATTCTTATGTAAATCATCTTATCATTTCTGACAATGTGACAAACACTTTTCTCTCTCATTACAGTCATTCCATTCTCATCATCAACCACGTTCAATAGCAGGTAGTCATGTACAGCTCTATAAAGACCTATGTGCAGAATTGTCAATGTAGTGCGGAAATGTCAATTTTTAGGAAAATATATCAGTGGTAAGATGAAGTGTCTCTCTCCTCCATTCATTACTGATAGACTACTTGAATAAGCTAAAGAGTTACGGACTCTCTTAAGTAGCTGTGAAATTGCCTATGGATTTCTGGACGTGCTGTCAAAGCTCTAG